GTATGATACTTGATTTAATATAAATACTATAATTGAGTTAGTATAAATAATTGTAACTTGTTGCAAAGAGCTTAATATCTAGACACGTTAATTTCGAGAAAATAAATAGAAATAATAAATGCATCGACAGATTATCGGTTTGTACGGAATTGTCATTTTCATTCGATGGAAGAAAACATATCACAGAATAGTATCACTATTCTGTGATCACATTGGGTCGCCCCATCATCAACTGTCAACATATAAAAAGGGCTACCAACTTAAATTTCAGACCACCACAATCTCTCTCTTCTCTGACAGTCATTTCTATGCACAACATGCGTCACTCTCACTTCCATCGAGTAACAAACAACAACCACGTGTTCAATGTTCGTTCCTTGTAAATAATCATAAGTATATATTTTCAATACAAGTGTCGTTTAATATTTCCACGCATAGAATAATATAGCACAAGCGCTATAAGTTCAAACTACATATTTAAATTGTATTTGTGATAAAACTATATTGTTATTTGTTATGACTTTGAATGTAATCAACTGATGCAGCAAAATTGATATTGAAAAATGATACGAGCACTTCATTTCATTTTATGAAAATAGTAACAGAATTAATCAATGTAGAATGAACATTTTCCCCACTTTCCATCCCGTTTTTCCTATTTACTAGCGTCACATGTGAATAACTTCCAATTTCGCGAACATTCATTGAAGTTTCGGATGGAAAAATTTCAGTTATTGAAAACTGACGCTGCAAAGCTTTTCGTTCACAGTCCATTTACAGTTTATAATAGCCGTATTTCTTTGTTTCAGGTACGCCAACATAGATGTCCTTTTTGTCCGGTCCGAATGGTAAATATGACAGGTACGTCGTTTCGACTCTCATTCAACAACGTCAGGTTTACGCGAAATCCGTGGACAGGACGCGCTTTTCGCTCGTTTTAATGCGGGAATAAATTGAATTACAATGACGTATACGGAATTTTTCAGTTATTGGCGATCGTAATTGAAATAGGATTATTATAGGGAAATTGTGTTTTCAACTCGACCGCCGTGTTTGGCTTGAAAACATAAAAGGTTCGGGGTAGTAATGGGTTTGTATTTACTATATTTTTTGGTTTGATAGCTTAAAAACACAGCAGATGGAATATATTATAAATTGGATATTTGATGTAAAATAAACCGAAATAGATGATTCATTTCAACAGGATTTTATATTTTTTTCCGACACCAAAAATATTAGCAGAAATTCTGAAAATGATATAGAACCCAATGGTATTAATGATGGAAGGTACAGAATCACCATTTTTTGAGAATTATACTATAATTTAAAAAAAAAATAAATTAAAATTAACACACTTAAATTTCACTAAATATATTAAAAACTCTACATATGTTTTGGGTGGTTAACCAATGGGTTTAACATCAGTAACTGAGTAACTCGTTGACATTGTATACTCTTGATAATGGGTTAACGACCCGAAACATATGTAGAGATTTCAATATATTTAGTGAAACTTAAGCCAAGTGCGTTTTAGTTTATTGTTTTTAACATAATATTTCACTAAGAGGTTGCCGAAACCTCCATGCAATTTAATACTATTATTTGTTACATTTGAAGATTTGTAGAAAATATTCCTCATTATTATTCACGAAAACCATTTTCTTCACTCAAAATTGTACTCGCTGTTTATCGGAACTGGGTTTTCTGAAATTCTGGTATTCCTTAGTCGTCAGTTTTGACAATATTTTGCTGAAGTTTTGAGACTTCAAAGAGTAGCAGTTGACATTGTTAAGAATTGCTCAGATAACTTTCCGTTTATTGAATGTTAATACGAAAAATCTTGAAAAAGGTCAACATGAAATGATTGTTGTCTTTAATTGAGACTGAATACAAATGTTGTTTATCTATTTAATTTTTTTATTTAATAGTGTTGGCGTTTGCTTTATGTAAATCCATTTAAATTGAGTATAAACTTAAATTCATACACTTGAACTTATGATTTACACTTTATTGACTACACAGCATGACGCTTTTCGTCGTTACAAACGACTTCTTCAGATGTCATTATTCTGTTAGCATGCTGAAGAAGAAGTCGTTAGTAACGACGAAACGCGTCATGCTATGTAGTCAATAAAATTTAAAGTTCAAGTGTTTGAATTTATGTTTATATTCAACAAATGTTGTTTGTATAAAGAAAAGATTAAATTTCATATAACATATTTTCAAACAGTTTCAATGAAATTTTGAATTTTTCTATTGCATTTTTCATTATCAATTTTCATTGTATTTTATCCTGAACCTTCGCATTCATGATCATGTTTTCTTATACGATCTTTTCAATCCTTCACTTCAAGTTTATTTTTGTATTATTGTAATTATCTGATATTATTTAGAGTTTTTCTACTTCTAACAAAAAATTACCCAATTTAAGTCTTGTTTTGAATGATTAATTTTTGCGTTTAGTATTTTGATAAAAATTTCATCGATTTTTTGAAAAGTTACAGAATATCCAAGAATTCCTGATATTCTGTGAATATCAGGAAACACTGGATTCTTTTTATACGTGAAGATAGCTATGTCTGCTACGAGCTACACAGCATTTTCATCAGTTTCTTTCTCGGAACACAAACAGTTTCATTAGTTCCAACGACACCGTTTCGCTGTAACGCCTTTAATTTAGCCCACGTCGTAGTTCTACCACAAAGGTTGAAATTCCGAGACGAGCCCAATTCCAACAAAGCAACGTTGTAACGCCAACTTTCTCGTACAGTAAACCCTTCGGGCAACTTTGCCACGAACTGACACAAACACACACGTGTAAATGAAACTAGACCAAACACTACCGTCGAAAAAGCGAACTTTGGCGCCCGAACGGAAGTTCGCCACGATTGGACCGACTAATGAAACAGTTGATAAACGTTCCGACCGAGTTCGGTAATCGACATTCGGGGTATACGGCAACGTCGCTTCGCCAACTCGTATTCGCTTATTTATGTGAATCCGTATGGCAGCCGCGAACATTATTCGCAAATGTCGACCCCGGAGTTGACTAATTCCTGCTACGTGCATCAGAAGTGGGATCAGCTATGCGGTGAAGCGGGAAATCTACCATTCGGAAAAACAGTGTTTTTATTGAAATTCAGTGTGTATAAGAGATTATGTACATACTACATACAAATGGAAAAACACCAAACAGTTTTGCATCCTTTTTTTCGACTTGTCATTGAAGAAAATCAGAATTTTTCAACTTACGAGCTGTAATTTTGAAATATTACAGCTCGCAAGTCGGTTGTGTTCATGATTTTTCGATCAAATCCTCTGCGAAATTTTATCAATATAACAACAAATTACGACCTGTCCTGTGAAACAGTGCATGTTGAATCAATAAATGAATAAAATAAACGAACACTAACGTTCTTGTATTGGTGTTTCTTCATCCAGTGAATTTTTCAATAAGTGAATAATTGATTGCAGAGAATTGAAGATAACAAGTTTCCCAATCCAATTTTCGTAAATATTTTTTGTGTTTTCAGTTATTGGATAACCAACTTTTCAAATTAAAACATTATTGTCACATTATACTGAATATACTGAAAGCTTTAAATGATTTCAAAAGTTATATTTCATTTCATTTGTAGATACTAAATTTATTGATTCGAAATATTTCGTCATTATCAACTATATTTTGCTGAAGCAATGTGAATTCAGAAATTATTTTTCTACAATGTGAATCTTCATTTAAATTTTATATTTTCTTGTTTGCAAAAATGGAAATTAGTGTTTCCAAAAAAAAGCAACTAAAACAATAACAACTCAGTGAATGACACGGAGGTTTCGCTTATCTCTTGGTGAAACATTATGTTGAAAACAATAAATTAAAATTAACACAATTATTTCACTTAAGTTTCACTAAATATATTAAAAATTCTTCTTATGTTTCGGTGAATGGCTTTGTATAATGGGTCAACCACCGAAACATATGTAGAGTTTTTGATATATTCGACACGGAGATTTCGCTTATCTCTTTTGAAACATTATGTTAAACTAAATCAAAAATCAAACCACTTGACTCAAGTTTCACTGAATATATTATTACAAACTCTACATATGTTTCGGGTGGTAACCCATTATCAAGGGTATACAATATAACTTTTAAAAGTATTACAAGAGTATACTAGTAATATTGTATACTCTTGATGAAGGGTTAACCACCCGAAACATATGCAGAGTTTCTAATAATATATTCAGTGAAACTTAAGTGAAGTGGTTTAATTTTTAATTTAATTTAATATATTCACTGAAACTTAGCCAAGTGTGTTAATTTTAATTTATTGTTTTTAACTCAATGAAGTTGATATTGTTTTTATATAATTAATGAAAAGGGGTTTTTCAGTCAAAAAGTATACGAGTGTTTTTTCGTGATCCGAAATAGTATCTCAAATTTGCTCACCATATTTCGGATTGATCAAAATCGGCAACATCGCTCGACATATCGCCGGTCCATAAACCGAATTTCCCAATTTCGAACTTTTTCACTTCTCAGCTTTACGATCGGCGTACGAGCCGGGCGATTTTCTACGTTTCGCCGATTCGAAAAAGCGTATACCACTCGATTTTATGACCGTCGTTTTTTCCGCGACTTTATTGTTCAGTCTACCAATTAAATCGACCAATTATACGGCCCCCGCCGTCGGTTTACGAGGCGGCAATTGGAAAAATTCGAAATATACTCCGTTCGCGGAAATTGCCTGTCGAAACGGCCGGTTTTGATTTATCGACACGGTAGCAGTTCGACGATATAAAGCCGCAGAGAATGTTGTGCGAGTCGACCTGATAGTCGAACTAATTCCGGTTACGAATCTTCAAAGATTTTCAAAGTTTTCCGTAAGAAAATTAGATTTTTTTTTTACTATTTTTGGGGTTCGTGTTCTTTGAACATAACCTATTATTTAATTTATTTATATAACCGCTGAAACTCATTTTACCTACACAAACGTCCATGTCTCACCCGAGATTCGAACCCAGATCTCCCCAGTGAGAGTCCGTCACTCTCCCACTACGCCACAGAGACGAGTTTAGATTATTGAAGGGATGTCTTCAAAATCGTATGTTACTTTTTGTGTATTGAATACTGACTTAAAATAGACGAAAATGTAACACACCCCTCTTTTAATTAATTAACCCTCTCCCATATGTTCCAATTTTTTATGGGCCCTTTAACACCTCCCTGCAGGTCCCCAACATCATCGAATGTGAGCTATTACATACTTGAGGTAGATAGTCTGGATTAATACACTCCGAACTGAAAATCCATAAAATGCACGTTTATAGCGTATTTAAAATCGCGGAGCGATTTTAACGACTCCATTACCCCACGTCGCACATTCTCCAGGAGTTCTGGATTACGCAATTTCGCATCCTTTGACGGGAGCCATTACCCTATTCGCATGTCGCAGATTAAATAACCGGATTTAAAGACAGTCACGCTGCGGATGGGGGTGGGCATCGTTCACTTTGATGGCCTTCCCGAAATACCCTTAGGGGTCGGGTCATCTCTGCGATGTTGGTGTTGGCTTGGAGGGTAGTTGGAGGTACAGCATGGTATTTGGATGATTTTGCCGTATCTTTTGAGATATTATTGATTCCGTTAATACTTCGATCGTCACAAAAGAATGGAAAATAAATTCTTCATTATTTTACTAGAAAAATTCAAGACTACATTATAGTCAAAGTAATAAATGGAAAATCCATATTAGTATCTTTATACACTCAATTACGATTTAATTTTTCAATTTCTCCTGTCCATTATTATATTATGATTATCATATATATATACAATTTATTTCTAAGCAAGTGAAATTAACTTTTCATTCATTTTCTTCCTCGAATACCCCCCTGTTTAAACTGTTGTAGCCATAATTAACGAATAGCTTAAGTAGGGGGTCAAATGGGCCGTGGAAAACTGCGGTGCGTAAAGATTGAGACGTATATCTATGTACCCCTCCCGTTTAGACCCTCCGAGACCGCGGCTTTCCGAGTGCCTTGCAGAAGTACACGTTAATGAAGGTACCCGATTTATAGGCCCATTTATGGCGGCAGACTGCGGCTAGGCTATTGAAAAAAATCGCGAAATTATCGTCCTCTCGTTCGGGGTCTTAACGGCCTAAGTGGTCGGGGGCAAGATGCGGGTGGCGTTCTTAAAAGGTCGCTCGGTATTAATTCGTGAAGAGGTCGTTTGGGGTGGATATTTAAGAGAGATATTTCGATGATCGCGGTTAGGGGTGAGTAGGAGGTTTGGAAATTAGGAATGTTCGTATTCGCCCTATCTTAAATTGTATAAAGCTCTGATTAGATTTTAATGAAATGTGTTTGAATTAAGGAATGATTTTCATGGATACTAGAAGAAGGTTTCGGAAGAATAGATAATTATTTTTAATTTTACTTATAAGGGCTCACTCAACAGGCAGTTTAAAACTGTCCTTCAATAGAGGATTTAATATGTACATCTTATAGAAATTTTTTATACATCTTATAGAAATGAGGTTTTCGATACATTATCTTGAATCATTTTATCTACAACACAAAATACTTTATTCCATTGAAAAAAATTAAAGAAATACTTCATAAAAAGATAAGTCTATAAAAACTGATAATTATTCTTTTATCGTCCTTTAACTAAACTATTTTCAAATATTTCCTAAAAGCTATAAAATACGGAGAGAAAATATCGAAGTTGGTCTCTATACTGATCAAGTTTAACCCATGAAAAGATCTATGGGTGAATGAATTCAACATATTATTTGTTTTGCTCTTCCCTACAATCGGTATTGTACGATTTCTAACTACATCTGGAAAACAATTAAAGTTTATAAGGCTTTATAAAACTTATAAGTTTTATAAGTTACTTAGCTAAGGCTAAATTTATAACAGACTCACATCGAACAAAAACCTAGTCATTCGAAATATAAAACCCAGATTTCTGCGGGAATGCTGGATGATTATGCGCAATTGCAATTCAAAAGTCAGTTTCTTATCATTTTAGCACCCAAATCGTTCACTGAACTGACTTCAGTCAAACATTGACCTGACATTGTAAAGTTGGAAGAGATAGGATTTGTTCAAGTTCAGCTGCAACTTATTGAGTCTGCAGTAGTCGGAGAATGCATTAAGATCGGACAATAAAAGAGAATAATAGTTGAAGGATTTTATCTGTTTCGATATTTTGAGATCATCCGCATATAGATTTATATCGGTATATCTGAAACATATAACAAGTAAGACATAATTGTTGTAACCATATGCTAATATTTCGTGAAAAATATCTAAATATTACTGTTACAATAATTCTGAAAATGAAAGATGCTTTGGAAGTTATGCTCGACATTGGGCTATTTAAATCTTGATAATTAATGAAACTATACCAGCACGTATCAAACTAAACATCGCGATGCCCTGGAGACTAGCATTCTGAAGGAGTTCTGTTTCAAGAAGTCATCCTGAAGAAAGCAAATGAATTTTTTCTTAAGCTTTTCATTTATCTGTTATATTTTCTTGATTGAGTTCGTTTCGTACGCCTTCGATATTAACGAGAAGGTTCGTGATAGAAACAAGTTTTGTTAACCTCCTCCTTAGATCTTGTCTCTGTAATTTCGTATTAGCAACCTTAATCTCAGAATTATACTTGGCGAAGGGTGAATTCTACCCCAAGTCTCTTGTATCAGACGTGAAGTTTGTTGATTAGCAATAATTAACTGAATCACGCAACGTTCTTATCGAATGACGTCAATACAACTTACATGCCCTCACTAACCCTTCGACGTTGAAATATGTGATGACTCTGCTGGAGGTGATCCTCTAGCTCCTTACTTAAGAGCCCACTGCCTTCGGGTGGCAACTTCAGACTAACAGATGATAATAGATTGGATTTGTGGCAATTTCACGACATTGCAGACTTGACTGACGCTTCAAATGGAATAATTTAGTTCAGTAGACTAATTCGCTACATAAGGACGAAGATTAGATTCTACTTCGTTATAGATTGGCCGTAGGCGAGTGAGGAGTCTGGATTATAGGGGTTACAATATGGAGCGTGTCTTTCGGGCTACTTAGTAAACATTGGATGTGACTATCTCTGCAACTATTTGAATTACAGAAAATTTGATATGCTTTTAGAGCGTTTTGTGTTTTTCTGTTGGTTCTTGCTGATTTTATTTTCAAAAAACTTTATCTTATAAGATATTTACATATATATGTGAAGGAATAATATCATTTCTTTTTATTTGAATTTTCCCGTGCATCAAAATCACAATAAACACAATAAATTGAAATCAACACACCTGATTTAAGTTTAACTGAATATATTAAAACTCTACATATAATTCGGGTGGTTAACCCATTATCAAGAGTATACAATGTTACTGAATTTCAAAGTGTACAATTTTCACTTATATATCCTGAACCACAAAGTTTAACAATGGTTTCACGGAAAAATCCACCTGGTCATTGCGAATAGGTAAGTTTTTCTTTTTGGCTATCGAAATTTCCTAGTCTTCAAGGGTATCTAATCTTTCTTCCTCACTACCTGAGTGTAATATTTCGGTCTTCTTGGGATTCAAGAAATGATTATGTTTAACGCAGTGTTCAGAAAAACCCGTATTAGGTTTATTCAACAGTATTGATCTTTTATGTTCATCCATTCTTTTTTGTATAGAACGTCAGTTTGGTATATGTAAAAACTATCACATTCACTGCAAAATATTTTGTAAACGCTCCTTCTCGAAAATAGGTCAAGTTTGTCCTTGTTATTCACAACAATGAACTCAAATTCTTCTGAAATATTCTCTTCAGTACGTACTGTACGCATGCGAGATAATGATTTAATGTCCAACAAAGTAAACTTTGTGCGAAATTTGGTGATAACAGCACGAATTGTTGATTCACTAGGTCGATTTTGACGACCATAATATGATCGTAACAAACGATACACATTTTTCACAGAGCACGAATTTTGATAGTAAATTTCAACAATTTGCAATCGTTGCTCGTTTGTAAGTCTTTTTATTATAAAATGGTAGAGTATACTGAATACTTTTTACTTTGACAGATGACGTTTGGATGCCAATAACAACCAGTGCCGCCAATGTGAAAAACTTAACTCTTGAAAAATCACCCGTTACCTATTTTTTTGTATTATTACGAAGACATCAACAATCGCCTAATTCTTCAACCAATTTCGAATTTCAGTACTTTTGCTATATTATTCCGACTGTTCTTGTTACAGATGTACTGATATCACAAGTCTTATCGTATTGTTTTCGAATATCAAGAGTAAAGATTACTGTCGTTGTCGTATTCGGCTCGAAACGGTGTACATTGTACGAAAACCACGCTTTCTATTCACACGATTTATGAACCCGGCTGCTTAGTCTCCTCTGCCGGCGTCTTCGATGCCGCAACTCCTTTAATCAGATCTTGGAAACGGGACCCGTCTGATAAACGGAAGTCGGGCGGTAAAGCGATGAAGTGCCGTAATGCTCTTCCGGAAAACGTCTCGCAGCTCGCAAAATTGAAGGTGGCGTTTGTTGCGGTTTTCGTTTCAGTTGTTTCGAATACGCCAGGCCCGCCAGATTCAGAACTCAACGTATAGAAACGTCGAATGGCATAAGCCGATTGTGTTGAGCTTAATTCAATCAGTTATGTATGTACGGAGCTGAGGCGAAGGCATATTTGCTCTGCTGCTTGAAAGGAAAACGTATTGAGGCAATCTGGTTATGGTTATAAGCGGAGGGTCCATAACTTCGAATAAGGAAGGCGAAGTTGTGGAGTTGGAGTAGTCGTTTAGTGCTACTTTTGTGACTTTATGAAAGATGCTATTCATACGTCTGGTCTTATAATGTGCAGGTGCAAATGCTCATGATGCAAATTGGTTTTATTATTTGCAAAAATGTTCTCCATGAAAATCTTGATGGTTTTGGATGATTTGAACATACTACAAAGCATATATTTCACTGTAATTTTGTTCTCTGCAAAATGACGTGTTTTATTCATCAATTCCTTCATGAGGAATTGAAA